GTCACACAAGCCAAAGCCTGATCATGACTCCTTCCGCCGCCCTCTGGGTTGAAGCTCACAGCACGACTCTTCTTCTTTCCGCAGCGGAACCCTGCAGGCAAGTAGAGCTGGATGAAGGGGTTGGCATTCTTCGGATGTCCAACATAAATCCTGCATCCCACCGGCAGCTCTGAACCGATTTTCTCGCGACACTGCGGGGAAACATGAGGCCCATCTGATCGTGCCTAAGTTTCGATTTCGGCGCAGGTTATGAATATTATTGTTATAACTGTTATATTGGCTACCTGTCGAACCCTGGCGAGTGACTCCGAAGTGAACCTGCAGATATACTCAATCGGAAAAGACAAAACTGAAAGACAAATCAGCAAATATTCCTTGCCGACAAAGCGGCTGCTCTTTCCTTCGACTCCGTGTCTGCTGGATCTGCTTGCCGACCAGCTGTGTTGCCCATGTCAGCGTCATCCCGGGGCTCCGCCGCCTCAGCGCCCTGAGCTCGCTCCAGATCGCTGGGCTTGGACTGAGCGCCCTGGTCGTTGTCCTTGCTGTCCATGTCATCATCTTCGGGGTCTTGAGCCATATCATCCATGACCTCTTCCTCTTGCTCGTCCTCGGTCTGGCCTTCCAAGTAGTCCTCGCCTGGGTCACCTTCTTCATCCTTGGTTACCGCCAAACAGCGGGAGCACATCAGGACGTCTAGGAAGGAGGGGGTCAGACCCAAGAGAGAGGTTCGACTCCGAAAGGAAACCACTCCAACAGCAACCTAGTTTCATCGGCGCTCTTAGGCTTGCTCTTGCTTGCGGCCTCGGGAATCTCTTCGAGGATGTCGTTTATGAACTCTGGGCTCTTCTTCATGTGCTCCAAGAACAACTTGACCCTGGATTTAAAATCCAACCTCGTGTGATTCAAGCCTAGGGCACTGCACAACTGGTTGACCAGGCTGCGAGGAAGGCTCAGCAGTGAGTGGTCGGCAACATATGCCGGCAGCCCCATCCAGTCTGATGTTTGGGACCATCCCAACTGATCATGACAAATGATCGGTTCTGTAAAGCTGATCACAATGTCGTGAATGCCACCAACAGGCACCTCAGACCTTGGCACCTCCATTTTCTCGAAAGTGTACTGGTTCGGGCCGTACTTCACGAGTGGCAAAATCCTCAAAGCCCAGGGCCCCGACCCCAGAACCAAGGCTCTGGAGCTCTCCTCTTCGCCATCCTTCCAGGACACGAAGACATGCTCTGGCACCAGCTTGGACATCCACAGGGAGCTGTAGACGTTCAGCAGAATGTCCTTCCTGTCCTCTTGGTTCGCGAGCTCATTGCGGATGTCCTTGCTGTAGGCATTGCAGAGGAGTCGCATCAGCTCTTGCCTTTGACACATGATATGCGGCTTGGTGTACGTGGAGCTCTTGTGCTTTGTGAGGCCTTCGGCGGAGACACCCAGATCCTTGTCCGTCGCTCTGCACGTGAAGACACTGCTCCTTACGTGCTTGGACTTGAGCCCAGCACTCCAGTCCTCAGCACTGATCTCCAGGCTTTTGCCGCCGGCACATCGCACTGTGGCAGACTTGTGTGCGATGCAGTGGACATTGTGAGGGAGAGTTTTCTCGGCCTTGCTGTGACGTCGGCCGGCGTCGCGGAGATCGTTAAATAATAATTCGGATGGCAGAGAGACGAGCAGGGAGTCTGCACTCTCTGCTGCCTGGCCTGTGAGCCCGGCCACCGATCTGCAAACTTCGCGGAAAAGGGCGCCCTTCTCCTGCGACATGCCTTCAGCTGTGAATCCCATGGACCTCAGAAAACATGAAAATACCTAAGCTTCTGTCTGAAAGCCACAGTCCCAAAAAGAAGGGGGAACTGGAAACCCGGCGGAAGTGGCCCAAGTCTGGGTTTCCAGCCCAAAACACGGGGTTTGGGCCAGAAGAGGGGGCCAGTTACCCTGGACTGGGTAAGTGGCGACTGTGCGACAAAATCAGAGAAGCAACTCTGCTTTCACCATGCAGTCGCGGTAGCACTGATACCTGGTCCACCCCATCTTCTTGTAGAGCTCATGGCGCTCGGGCAGCTTGTCGATGACATCGGTGACCAGTGCCCACTCTTCAGCCATCAAGGACAAAGTCTCTTCCTTCAACTGCTCGTTCAAGCATGTCACCACCCTCCAAGGGAAGCTGCGATGCGTGGCATCCCGGTGAAGCAAGGCTTCCAAAGTGAAGAGAAAGAGCGAAGACAGCCATTGCAAAGATTCGGGGTCGCTCGTCGCACCACAGTACACCAGGCCACTCCCTTTGGCCGCATTCTGGAACGTCTTCCTCAACTCGAGACGCAACATCACACGGTACTTTCTGGATGTCTGACGGCAAGAAGCAATGTTGCAAGTAGACGACTGCAGCCATCCTAATTCAACTAGGACTACAATACTACAACCTGGCCACGTGATCAGCTTTTGCGCCCGTCGCCCACTGGCCAAGGCAACTGCATGACGAAGGGATGCGGCACCGTTGTTCTGGCAATCCTTTGCCTTGGCTCCACATGGGATTGCCCAAGCAGTGTCTGCAACCCACACTGCTTGACGGACGGACAGTCACCTCCATTGCAACCCATGCTGCGCACTCGGCCACAAACATGCGGAGAGCTTTGAAGACGACAATGAACGCTCGCATCTTGTCCTGGTTGGTGTCGTCTGCCAGCACCTGATCTAAAGAT